GAATTGAGTGGATACCGATTAACACGTTCACGCCGGGGTGACCCACCGGTGGGTCACGCTAGATTGTCTCATCTTGGCAGCGCACCGGAGTAAAAACTGGTAACAATAAATTTCATTTTTTAGTTTTTTTCCGGGAATAATAAAAATCCATAACTACCAATTGTTTTTTACGGATGCAATCTTTATATTGAATTGCTTCTTCGCCGTGATAAATTTCCTTACAGTGAATTGTGATTGTTGAGAATAGATTAACTCCTCCCGAGTATTATCTAATATTGAGATAGTTCTTCTACCAGTATTTTCACTTTCCCCGTTCCAGTATTTTCACTTTTCCCGGCGTGAACGTGTTAAATGAGTCTCTCGTACACACACGGCACCACTTGGATACCAGCTAAGGACGCAGTTCGTAACGAAAGTAATATATTCTTAGTTTGTATTTTTTTTAAAGTTAAAAAATAATAACTAATAGAAAATATTGAAAATGAAATATTGGTAATGTGTATTAGGTTAATGGTATACAAACCAGTGGCAGCTTGAATCAGAACGGGACGGGTACTAAGCTGTATCATGCTGACATTGAGTACACACGGGGCATTGCGTGAATGCCGGTCGAATACAGTGCTCGCACACACAAGGCATTGCATGGATACCGGCAAAATGCGGTGCTCGTACACACAAGACATCGCGTGGGTTCTGGCTAAATACAGCGCTCGTACACACAGGACATCGCGTGGGTGCCGGTCAAATACGGCGCTCGTACACACAGGTCATCACGTGGATGCCAGATAAATACAGCGCTCGTAACGAAATGTATAATATATTGTTAGTTTATATTTTTAAAAAAAGTTAAAAAATAATGACTAATAGAATATCATACAATCTTAAGTATTATCATGTTAATGTTTGAGAATAAATGTTGTCAAAACAAGTCATTGGGCTTTCACAGGATTTTTAATAATACATTTTACACATACAAACAAATCATTTAAGAGTACAGTTAAATTAGTGTTTCATAGAATTCAAATATTTTAAACCACGGTACTTGGCTATTCTTACAAACAACACTTATTAAAGTCTTCAACCATTTTTTATACATATTTCTTAAAAAGTTCCTAACATTTACTCGAATGATAAATATTAGTTCATGTTGTGTAACTCCATTCACCAATTCCTACTCATACACCTAATGTTTTATGCATTAAAGATTTGAACTAAATTTCATGAAAAATCTTTTCTTTTTTTTGACATAAAAACTCAGAAGATTATTACATTTTGCTCTTAGGAATTTTATTTTATTCTAGTAAATATGCGCAAAAATTCTTCACCCCTCTTCATTCTTTTTATTAAAAAAATACATAAATATATTAATGTTTGCATTAAGCAAGTAAAATTTTCATTCATGTATTCAACACCATTATGTCCCATATGCTTTCCATATTCATTTACTCTACCAGAATTGTTCTGGTCACAACATACAATTTAAAAATAAAAAAGCTTATTTCTTAAATTAAAGCCGTTTTCTATCAATCAGTAGCATTTAATTAACATCTATATAATAATAGCTTAATTAATATCTAATGTCAGTAGTATTTAATTAATATCAGTAGTAATAGCTAATATCTGTTAAAATGGATAAGGAAATGGGAAAAGGAATAAGGAATGGAAAAGGTTTATTCACTTTTAAGTTTTGTATTTTTTACTAAATGTGCGATAATAAGAACTATAATTTTGAAAACCAAAATTTCTGGTAAGCCGTCACCATACAAACGAAAAAATTACCAATTTAATGTGTTAAATGTCTTATATTTTTATTAAACAAAATTCTAGTTTTTTATTATCAAATATATCATTACCATATAGTAGGCTAATTTTTCCAGAATTTTTTCCGCCATGCAACAAGTAAGTTGAACTGCTAGATAATTAAATGTTGATTCACCCTCTAAGGGGTGATAGAATAAAATTTGTTCCACTCATTTTCGACAATGATGCAAACCAGTAAAATTGTTATGGTTTCTATTTTTCAAACAACGCGAGACTGGTAAACTACTCTAAATTCAGAAAAATATAAAAAAGGCCGGTGCGTTGCTGAATTCTGTTGGTCAAAGGTCACACTTGCTAATGTCCAGTTAAACTGAAGTTTTCAATTGAACTTTACTATTCCGGAAAAGAGTTAAAGCGATTATATTAATCATTCCTTATTTTATTTTACTTTATAACCGTCGTTGAACAGCCGACCCAATTTTTGGGTTTACGACTGCTAACATTCAACTCCGTAGCCTTGTAATTTTGAACCCAATCCAGAAGACAAGGGAACTCCTGGAACAAGTATTGGGAGAAATTTGCCTTCGTGGAGGACTTTTAGATGGAACTAACCAGCATTTGCGCTACGTGGAGAGGAAAACCACGAGAACCTTCCATGATTAGCCTGACGGCAAATGGACTCTAACCCATGATCCATCTACCACTGAGGATATTTCATGTCAGCACTGTGGTCGGTGCAACCGGATGCGGATTCGTATCGACCAGCCATTGTTGGATTCGAACCCGGTTCAGGGCAAATACAATGTCTGCTTCGTATCCCGATGAGGACTTCTTATATTGCTAACAGTTGACATAAATTATTCACTGGCAAATCAACTAGGTAGGCGTCCCCGTTAATGTAGGGAAAAATTCAAAATTTTAGTGATTTTCCTCTGCACTTATACTGATTTTGAAATTCTCCAACGAAAACAAGTTCACCACAACACATTAACCGCAAATTTGATTGTTACCGTCTGTTCAACCTAGACAACACAATAAAACTGAAATAGGAATTTGACAGCAGTGCTTTGAAAAAGGCAGCGATAAATGCTAACTCCACCTCAACAGATGATTAAATTACGAAATTGATTGCGTCGAAAAATAGTTTTTACATAAAACTTTGAACAAAAAAACTTTTTTTCTGAAGCATTTCAACGTACATTTTAACTGTAATTATTGTATTAATTCATGCTTAACGCAATTTTCGAAACAGAATTCTTGATTAAAGTGAAATTGGGTTTCTAAATTTCAATGTAACACTAACAGAAAATCTTTAGTCCTTACTCTTAACTTATCGCATTCCAATTTTGTATTCACATTTTTTGTATTGACTCAAAATTCACTTATCAATTCAAATTACTTCTTATTTTTAACAAAAGTTCGATTATCATATAATTTAGAAGAAAAAAATAATGGTTAAGGGTGAGCAATTTTTGTGCATATTCTAATCTCAGTTAAGCAGAACTATATCAAACATATTTTTGTGAAAGAATTTTTCACAGTTGCACATCATTAGGATAAATGTTGCTACATATCATGTTTGATTATTACATAAGGTAAACAAAAGTTTTTCAGTAGCTATTTTTACAAAGCCTTGCTCAAATTAACTGAAAAAATATCTAAAGGCATTCATAGGGACATGAAAGATTCAGCTAGAATTTTTGGAATTTAAAAATAAAGACTACAGTTATAAACACATTTCACAGAATATAAATTATTTAAATTGACTACAATTATCACAGCATAGAATACGATATAATTCAATTTCACAACATTTTTTTTAACTGAAATCCTTTTAGATTCTATATAATAATTAACAAATTGATAAATTCTCGTATATGCCTATAATATGATATGTAATAGAAACAATTTACTTATCACATCCATTATATTAGTGATTTGTGTGATATGAAATTTAAATAAGGTTTTATTGAGAGATAATAATAAACTACTGAATTTTTATTTTTTTTTAAAATAGAAAAGTAGGTGTGAATTGCAAATTAAGCGTAATGAATACGTTTTATTATTATTGTCTTTGATAGAAGAGCATTACATTCCAGAAAATATTTTGATTTATTTTTATTCTTTTATGTAACGGAAAAATGTCAAAAAGGAGCCTGATTACTGTTTGCAATAAAACCTTCCAGTTGAATTTCATGTTTCCTAAAAAAAATTCATATTTTACAAGCATTCAAAAACTTTCTATTCATTCATATTTTACTCAAATATGAAAGAATTCATATTTGAGTATATGAGAATATATGAGAATATATGAAAATATGAAAGAATTCATATTTTTGTAATACTTTATTGCAGTCAAAGTAATTTCTCCGTTAGTTGAATGATGCAATACAATATTTATAGAAAAACATTAATAATCTATCAAAATGTGATATTTGTTGAATAACGAGTCTGGACAGGTTCTTCAAACAGAAGTTTAAGTTAAAAAAAGGATTAAGAATTTTCCAGAGAGCTTTAAATTCATAATAATACTAACAAAATCTTTGTCTTCATACTGACTGCCTGTCTTTTATATAACTTTTAAAAAAAACTTATTAAACTTTCAGATAATTTTAAACACTTTATTTTAACGCCTTAAATATATTAACATTCTAACGAACTGGAACATATTATTTACAACATAATGCATTAATAATTATGTAACAAATATCATTGATTTTATTTAAATAATTTAAACATTTTCTTTATCATCAACAAATAAAAAATAGTAAGTTATAATTCATCTTTTTTTAAAAAATATTTTTTGATTTTATTGAAATTTATTGTCATGAAAAGTTTCAAATTTACATTTTTTTATGTCTTCATAAACTAAGCTAAATACTTTTGTCACGTCGTTAATTCCTGAATTATTTATAAAACATTAAATCACAATAAATTACTAAATTTCAGACATTTGCATTACAATAAAAAAACAATTTATGCAAAGTAAAACATTTCCAAGCGAATATATTTTGCTAATTATAATGTTATATCCAAAGCTTTTAATTAAAATAAGTACTTCATCTTGATAAATTATCTTTTACCAAACAAAGAAATAATAAAAATTATTTCACGTATATGATAAAAAGAAACACATAATGCATTAAACAAAAATACAAAATATGTCTTAAAAAAATTAATTTTTTTAAGCTTTGGAAGGATTGAAAAACAGAAAGTTCGAAAAAGAAAAAAAATAATTTAAAAAGAAAATATTTTTTATTATTCATTTCCCTATATTTTGAAAATGGTAAGATTAAATGTGATCTTATTTTTCAAAAATAAATAAAAAATATACTTTAGAAAAAGAGCTGGGCAACTGAAATAGCATTACATAATTAGACAATAAGACAAGATACAACATTTATGTTTTCCCCGTATGTTCTTCATTTCTTAGAACAAGTTGATGTAAGTTTAAAAGTTTATTTTATCATTTCGATAATGGGAGAGTTTTGTAACACAAAGCTTGCTCCAACTAGCATAAATATATTCAATTAGTCAGTTTATAGCTCAATATAATCAACTTTTATAGCACAAATAAAAATTGACAAAATTGTTCTTTATTCCATACTAAATATTTTATCAATGTTTTAACGATTTTATAAGAAGGACGAACTAAAAAAAATACTAAAATCTTACCTAACAGAAATATTTGATTAGTCATATTCAGAAACTTAAGGAGCAGTCCAACTGCATTTTGTATCAACCGGTTTGCCGAAATTGCACCAATGAAATTCTCAATTTCCTAATGCGTATTTCAAATAAATTCTCATTATAATGAAAAAATTTCACCTCAAAATTTGATTGGCTCAGCGTCATAAAATATTTTTCATTACAAATGAAAATTTGTAATCGAAATATTTTAATTCAATACTAAATCATTTGTTTACATCAAAAAAAGAGAAGGAGTAGACATCTCCACTTTTTTATCCAATTTAGCTTTTTCAACTCTTTACATACGACAACGGTTTTAACCGTTTCAACAACCGCCGTGCACTCCACTCATTACTTGTTACAGAACTCGCCCATTATTATATCAGTTTTGACATCAGCCACAACAATACAAGCTGAAACTGAAATTTGAAAACAACATATAGCGACACAAAAAAATTTTTATAACTACAATGCCATTTTTAAAATTTTCAACTCATCAAAGCAATAACATGAAACGAAAATATCGTACAATAGTTATAGCTACAACATCATCAGTTCACTTATACAATGTAATAGTACTGTATATTACTGATCTCTTTAACTATAATCACGTTTTATTGAGCTATATACTGCACTCAAGCTTTTGCAAACATTCATAACACTTACCTATGGTTTTATACATATGTACAAATGTGCGTCTAAAGGGTACAACTTTAAGAGTGAAAAAAGTTTTAAAGTATTTTTTTAATATGAATAGTAGAGTAGTGTGGTCAGAATTAAACTGACGTTAATATTATGAATCATAAAAAGTATTTTTCCCTTATAAGGACCATGCTTGTTTGAAGTTACTTATCTAGTAGAAAATTATACCTAGCCATGAATTGTCCACATAATGTTGCATTATTCTCGCCATAAATTGTTCTATGTATAACAAAAACCTTTTATTCAAAATCGAACTGTAGATAAAATTAAATACCGAATTTCAAGTGGTTTGCTGACACATATCTACCAAAACAATTTTATCCGAATCTCCTAGAACAAGCACAACTTTTTTGTTGAAAACGTAAAAACATAATATAAAACAAATTTTAGTTTACAAATTCAAAAAGGCAACGTTTAGATTGCAAAATAACAGTAAAAAAATTATTATATTATGTAACACTTACGTTTCCCAGAATCTAAGAGAAAGCCTTAACCATTATTAATAAACGTGCACGAGTTAAATTTTCAATCAATATTTAGGTTAGGTCAATTGTGTAGATTTCGAGTTAAATTAAAATTTTTGGAGACCTAAATGTTGCATATGTTTTACAGTTTGCTTACATTCAACCACATTTTTAAACTAAAAAATTTAAAAGTATGATTTTAAGCAAAAAAGCGTGGACTTTTTGTCCACAAGTGATGAAAAATCAGGCGCAATCCAGAAGATAAAATACTTTTTTAATTTGGCTAACAGAAATTTGGTAAATATGGAACCTGACCACCGTAATATCTTTTAACAGATTTAAAATTTTAAATTTAGCAAAAAAAAAATTTTTTTGTAGAATTCCACCTTGAATATTTCGCATAATGCCATGAGGCAAAATAGTGCCCTTCATTAAGACATGGTCATTGTGAGGGAAGAGTACAAGAAAGGTATGAGTGTTCATGTTTTGCTATTTCTTATACATTTTATTCATGTGGCTACGTATTTATTAGGGACGTGTTCTCATCGTTGTAAGGTCTATAAAAAGATCTAACCATAAATTTTAACATGCAAAAATTGCACCTGAGTAACCCACCTTGCAAGAACGTCATGTATGATTAAGATAAACATTAGGAAATTGCTTTCTTCATTTGAGGAATTCATTATACAGTTATACATCAAATTCAATTTTTGAAATGGAACTTACATGTATAATACTCAAAATTAGCTCTGCAAGACTTTAAATTCAACCTTGCATACTTATTTATTTTTGTTTAGGGACAGTTCACAATTTATGTTTTATTGAAACCTGAATTTATGATTTACTTACTATTTATGATCACGTATTTGAAACTTAATACGATCCCTGAAAAACTTTAAATGAAATCTTAGATATTAATTTCAGGTTCAAAGACAAATTTCTGCGTTTATGTTCAATATAAATTGAAGATATGAATTGATTAAGTGTTGAACAAACTAATAAAAATTGAATAAACAAAATTTTTAATAATTTTAAATTTTTACGTCAGTTGCATGCATAAAAATTTTGCTTTAACCAATTTAATTAAAGTAATAAAATTTGTCTTGTAACGTTGCATGAAAACTGTTATTAATAATTCAACTTGTTTAAGCTTTGAGTTTAACACTGTTACAATTTTTATCGGTGATAATTAAACGAATAATAAATGAACTTCGCTTATATGATTAATAAATACTGATTAATAAAATATAATACTTCATAATTCATGAAATAAATATATTTTATTTATTATAATTAAAATTATTATTTATTATGAATAACTGAAGTAAATTATCCAGCACAGCTTAACTACTTTATTTTCTACATATATAAAATTTCCGTAATTTACTATACCTGATTATATGTTCTAACTTGAATAAGGTAAAGTCTTAGTGATGATTCAGTTTATTTAAAATTTCGTTCTTAATTAATATTTATGAACGAAATGGTAATGATTTGGTTAAATACGGATTGAATTTGATGATAAATACCTTTAGTTTTCAAATTATAATTTCTGTTGCAATTAAAAATACAAAATAAATATATTAATTAAAAAAAGAATACTTTATAAACTGAAGTCACAAAAAGTGTTTTATTAGATATTTTTATCAATATCTAACAGAAAAAAGTTCGAAAGTAACTTTTTTTGCATTTAGATTATAATCAAAACAAATAATATGATTTTCATGGGAAAAAAATATAGCAAACAGTATGCGTTATACATTGAATGATATATAGTAATGGAAAGATGGATTTATCAAAAGCACAGAAGCAGAAGAGTGAATTTATCCGTTAGACACACAATATTTAAAAAGAAACATTTAACAAATTCGAAATATTTTAGTATTTTCATAGATTTTTCTTTCTTTTTCTTTTAATTTGAAATATGAAAAAAAACATACAGATAGCAAATAAGTTTTTAACTTGCATATTATTAACTTAATTCAGGATTAGGTTGTCTCTAAGACATCGTAATAAGATATCAATATTATTTGAAAATCGGCAGAACCCTAGAGAGTATTTTTTTTTTTAAATTTAAGCTATTAGTACAAGTACATATCGACTATGACAATAATAATGATTCTTAAATAATTGCCGTTTCCGAAAATTAAGTATTCAAAAACACGTAAATTAAAGTATTCTAAGACATCGTTATAAGATTTTAATATTATTTGAAAATCAATAGAACCCTGGAGTTTTTTTGTAAAAAAAAAAACTGAAACTATAAGTACTAGTGCATATCGACTATAACAATAATATTGATTCTCAAATAATTGCCGTTTCCGAAAATTAAAGTATTCATGGGTAATAAAAGTTCTTTTTTCTTATTTTAAATTTATTTGCTCAGTGTTTTTTAAAGCAAATAAAATAGTATGAACTTAAATAAAAGTACATTAATATACATAACATTAAAATTAGTTGTTTTAGCATCAGTTTCAAGCATCAATATGATAATTATTTTTAAGTAACTTATTCTTGTACAAATATTTTAAAACATTCTTAAACAATGTGTTTGAAGAAAGTAATACATTAATGATTGAACAAAATAATATTCCTTTTTTCGTAAAATAAGATAAAAAATTTTCTAGAATTTCTAACTAAAATTTAAAGTTCATATTTTAGAGAGATTTTGCACTTTCGTGAAGTATCCTGCAGGTTCATGTACGCATGTTCTGAGTCACGGCGTTAACATGGAACAATTTCCCTTTACTACAGAGCTTGCAGAGAATACACGTACGCCAACTTGCGAGATGCTATGTGAAAATCCTATCTCTCAGTTATTCTTTACAGAACATTACAAAATCCAATTACTGATAACAAGGCTTAATCAAATTCTTTGATTATTGCTGTGAAGGATTATCACAAATTAGATTGCTGAAACTCTTTCATCATCTTCATTACTCCATGCAGATAGATATCAAGAATAAATTAAATGTGTTTAGAACACTCAATTAATACCTAGATAAATTTCATTTATCCTATAAGAAGTTCTATACGGTTCGAACTAAGAACTCGTGAAGCTTCTTTGTCAATCTGCAACAAGTCTCATCTAGCATTTAAGAACGTCATAACTATTTATCTTCTCAAGTTCCTAGTTCAAAACAACGGGGCATGTTATAATTTTAATCATATACACCTACTGTCAATCTTCGTCTGAACCATTTATCATTTTTTCCATGTCTGCAGACCTATAACCTTTAGGCTTCGGTTTCCTCTGTTGCTGTTCAGGAAGGGTATTTTGTGTTGTTGATCTGGAAGAGTGATTGGTCATAGGCTGTGGCTGACGAAACGGATTCGTGTCTACTACAGGTTGATTAGCTGTTGGCTGTCCTTGGAACAGCTGTTGCTGAGGTTGGCTTTGCTGAGATTGGAATAAATCTGGTTGCAGGTTGGTTGATTCCTCTGTCAAATTTACAGCATTACCGTTATTCACCGTAAATGTTTTGTATTGTGGAGCTGGAATCTCATCAAGATCAATTTGTTCTTCCTTGAATGTATCGTAATCGTATACGTGACGTAACATAAAAAGTGCTGGTACATATCCAAGGTTGGTGACGGCTATCAGAATATTTAAACCTCCGAATCCTACAGTAGAAACGATTCCTCCTGCTATAATTGGACCGATCGCATATGCTAGAGAATAGGATATATCCGCTATGGCATAAATTGAACCGTACACAGATACGTATCGTGTATCCACTAGATGACCAAGCATTGGTAACAATGATGTATCCACTTGCGCTATACCAAAACATATTCCAGATAAAGGTATCATGAGTACCCAAAAATTGTTCGACAAAGGGACAAATAAACTACTTATACCTTCAAGTCCTAACCCAGTAGCTGCAATAGCCCATTGGTACCTGGGGTATTTCTTGCACAGTTTTACTGTGGTATAGACGCCTATTACATGTGGTATAAATGCGGGTAGCCATACCATTCCTGTTTGCCATTCATCCACATTATCCATCGTTGCTTCCATCCATAGAGTTAGTGTTGGCTCTAAAAATGCAAGGGAAACATTCGCCATTACTAATGTACCTGCACAAACGAATATGTACTTATCTATGAACAACCTGTGAATGGGAGTTCCTTTTGGACGTTCAATGCCTTGCTGCTTCATGGCCATTTTCACTGGTCTCATTACGAACAGAAGAGCAAATCCATCCATGAGAGATATCATACTTAAGACAATAAATGGAACTTCTTTTCCTGCGAATTCATACAGGAATGCACCGAAAGGTGGTGCTACAAGACTTCCAAATGAAATGAAAGCTTGCGCAATACCAATTGCCTTGCTTCGAGCTTCGTCTTCGGTAAACCTATCAGCAATCATAGCCAAACCACCGGTATCTGCAAATGCTGATCCTACACCTTGGAGACTTCTGGCAAAAAAAAGGATACCATAACTTTGTCCACATGCAAACATAGCTGTGGAAATAAACATTATAGTAAGTCCTATCATCATTGGCGTGTCATAACCAATCTTATCAATGACTGTCCCTGAGAAGGGATTGATAAATAGCTGGACGATAGCTTTTGAAGCAAAAAGCATTCCTATAGCGCTATCTTCACCTTTATAATGAATCTTATCTTTGCCCTGTTTCCAATAGCTCAGATTGCTTCCTTCAGGAGCTGTGCTATTGTCCCATATCCGTTCTCCTTTCACAGTCTCCGTATCCCAAGTTTTAATTTCACGCAAATATGTTGGGATAATTGGCACGATTACCATGTATAACATGTTGTCCAGCAGCAAGGCAATACAAACAATGACTAGAACCATCTTCCTTTGGCTTTCGGGGTGTTCCAATTTGTCATTGACACGCCGCCAAATTTGGGCGGCGTCCATGTTTATGACTGGTATGACTGTCATGGTTGTTAGCTTAAGGTAGAGATATTTTAATGATGAATTCGGTTATATCCATGAATAAGTACACTCCATCCAAATTTTTTTTTAAAGTTCTTTATTTTTTAATTCTAGAACTAACTATGTTTTTTCAACATTATTCATATAATGTATTAGAACAATATACTGAAAGAACTGGAGTGGTTAATTTCTAAGGAATACTTCTTGGGTCACTTCTGTCAGTCGTTAGGATGCACTATTTATAGAATATGTATTTATGATTCTATGTGCCGTAGATAAAGTAGTAGCAGTAGATCTTCTGTATATAACTTTACTCCTGTATGCATTTAAGTGAAATATACCTTCTTTGTGGCGATGTAAACATCCACATTTGTCACCAGAAAAAGATTTTAAAAGAGCGCACATGCTCGTATTCTAAATTACCATCAAAGGACGTCGTCCTACTTCGGCCACAAACTCCAGCAGTTCTTGAAGTTATGCGACTCCCAAGGTCGGGGTGTGACATCTGGACACGTTTCCCTATCCTGCAGCCAGGAGCCTGGAGCCCTTGAAATAGAAATAAAAAATTTTTTTAGAAATTGTTTCTAACTTGTTGATTTTACAGTAAAAATTAAAATTTTGAATATTCTTCACACAAACTCAGGCGTTTGGCCACAGGTTAGGGAAAATGTATCCTTTTTACGAAATGTATCTTTTATGTATCCTTTTTAACGAATTTTAATCATTAAAAGCTAAAAACAAAATTTTATTTGTGATAATTACAATAGTTTAAGTATGATTAATAAAACTTATGATATTTTTAATTACAACAATGCAGTAAACAGTATAATAAACTAAAGAAAAAAAGTAATATTTTTCTACTAAAGCTGCACTATCTCATACATTGTAATTCCACAAATCTTTCCCACATTATTAAAAAATTGCTATGGACGCTAGTTCAAATAATTCTTAATTTCCTTTCTAAAATCAAGATTAGGGCTCAATTTCGTTTGCTAGCAAGTAGCAAATTGTTAGCTAAAAAATACCAAATGCTAGTTGCTTGTAACGTCTAATTGTCTGGATTTTCAATCATTTTTTTTCGTCTTTTTTTTGCGTCATTTTCAAATTCAGGTATTTTTAATACAATGTTATTACGACGTGTAATTTTTCGAATCAGAGTTATCACTTCTTGGCGCTCTCAATTAGCGACGATTTCATCCTGATCGTTTCCTTGGCAGTTTTTGCAGTTAGTTGTTTAACTTCCAGCCCTGTAATTTCCGGATTGTTTTTGAAATCTCGATGTTTTAAATACGGTATTATTACTACCGACGTATTCAGAATGTCGCATTTGAGTATTTAAGCTTTTATATTAGGACACATATTTAATAATTACCTTTGAGAGATCTTTTTATTGCAATAAGTCACACAGCAATGAGTATATTGAATTTTCTGCATCACACAACGAAATTCGTTACCGCTTTAAAACATGCTTGTATTAACCTTGATTTCGCTAGTAGCACTAGCACATTTTGCTACTGCTTTTGAAAAATATAATCATACCCTGATCACAACTATTTTTTTGAAAATATGAAATCAAATATTGAAGTATAACATTCTCTATTTACTAAAAATATTTTTTACAGCATTTAGAATGTATGTAAATTTATTAAATAATGTAAATTCATAGTCTGAGGATTATTGGACATTAGATGATTTAAATAAATAATTTTCTTAAGAATTTAAAATGCATGCTTACAAAAAAAAATAATTTCGGATTAACTTTGACTACCTCATTTAGTTTTCCATAAATCGTACAGTGCCAAATTATTACTTCAGACTAATGTTTGAATTAAATCAACATAAGTTACGTTCAGTAGTTCTTACAATTGCTTTTTACTCTGCAATTTAATTTTAATTGCAAAAAATTAATAATTCTGTTAACTGTTTACTTCCTTTTTTATGAAATACATGATTCATTTAAAATTACATAAAGAAAATAATCCAGCATTTCAATAGTATTATATAACATTGCACATTGCTAAATAAACATTTGGATTGTTTTGTAAAGTTTGGATAGTATTAAAAAATGATGAAATAATTAATAAAAAATTTAAAAAAAACTTATATCATTGGACATAATTAGAACTACGAAATATTTTAATTATTGTTTCAGTAGTGTTTAAAAAATTTTTCAAAACAGACAAGATATGCACCAAGAATAAATAATTAAAAGAGTTTGCACGTAGCAATGCTTGTCTTGTCAATTGTTGTGTCTCGTCTATACTGTTATACTACTTGTCTATTGTTATCTTGAATATTTTAAATCATTATACTGGATTAGTTAGATCAAAATATAATGTTTGATCAAATCAGTTATTATTTAAACTCATTTTTAATTTTAAAATCCAACGTATTTAGTACATTACAAGCAGTTATCTTTTTTAAATTTCTTTCCGACTTACAATTTTCTATTTGAATCTAACCAAAACTTGTACTGAGCAAGTAAATACGACAAGTAACACGTGACTAGAACTACCAAACAAACGAACATAACTAAAACTTCGAAATTTTTTAATTGTTTCAGTATCGTTTAAAAACAATTCAAAAAATTCTTGAGCAATGTTTTCCTTCTTATACGCTAGGGAACAATTTTTTTTCGGTTGTATGATAATTTTTTTTAATGTTCATATCGCTGATTTTAAATCTGCAATTTGTTTCTCTCTGTAAGCTACCGTATTTATGAAATTTAATTATATTTTATTTTATAACCAAGGTTAAACAGCCGACCCAATTATGGGTTTACGATTACTAATGTTCAACTACGTAGCCTTGTAATTTTGAACCCAATCCAAAAGAAATTTGCTTTCGTGGATGACTTTTTGATGGAACTAACCAGCATTTGATTTACATGGAGAGAAAAACCACGAAAATCTCTCACGGTAAGGGGACTCTAACCCATGATTCATCTACCACTGAGGATATTTCACGTTACCACTGAGGTCGGCGTAGGCAAGGTACGGAATTTGAATAGACTGGCAATCGCTGGGTTTCGAACATGGTTCAACTAATTGGAAGGCAAACGCTCTATCCCCTGAACCACCACGACTTATTTCAATAATATAGACTGAAACAGGAATTTTTATAATTTATTGCCAACTAAGTGTTCCCATTTCTCCTGTATATAGGACATGAGGAGAGGAAGGAGAAAATGCATTTGAGTTTTTGATGTGGCAAGTTAAGATCATATGTTTCTTATCTTAAATGTTATTCGCAAGGAAGCAGACTAGTGTATATGCATGCATGTATAATCATGCATTCCTTATAAACTTGTACATTATGAGAAAAAATAAAATAAACTAAAAATATCATTTTGAAAAAGAAATCTGTAGTTTTCGAAACAAAACTAATTTTAGATTTGAAATTCTCACACCCGAATTGAATAAGGTCTTCTACAAATGCAAAAAGAAGATTGTTCGCCAATGTTATTAAGATTAATTTTAACATTAAAAATTATACTTATCACTGTCTAGAACAAAAGTAGTATTCAAAACCTCAACTTTTTACTTAATAATTTAATTTATCACTTTAAAATTTACTCCCGGTTTACAATTTTGTATAATTTACAAATTTGTGGCTCGGGGATAGTTAATAAATATTTTATTATAGCCCTCTGGTTGTCGTTAATTATCAAAGTACCCCGCTGTCAGACAATCTGAGAAGCCAACATGCATTATATATTTAACAGAAAAAAATGAACATTAATTTGAAACACATGAACTTTTACTTAAGTCTTCAAACTCTACTTTCGCCAAAACATCCCTAAAACGTCCCAAAACACCCGCCGTCATTTACAGACTTAAGTCGGCTCACATGACTCGAGCATTAAAACGGTGTGCTACAACAACATCCACCAATCACATTTCCCTTCTACAACTACACTCAGAACAGGAGAGAGAGGTACCAAGAGTAAATAAATAAATAAAAAGAGTTGGCGCGTTTTAGCTTGATAAATTCGTTTTGAAAAGGCTAGTTCCGTGTAAAGAAATTCCAGGATACAGGAACTCCGGCTCGAGTAAAAAATAAATAAATAAATAGGTCTATAAAAAGAGAATGAAGGGGAAAGGGGGGCATAGGCCGTTAAAAGTGTAGGCTGCAGCACGTGCTGGCAGAGAAAGAACCTGCACACCGAGCGGACTTAAGGCCTTGTAATGGAGAACAGCACTCAGGATGATTACATCCACCTGCAAAATGTAGAAGATGGTGGCTTGGCGAGGGATTTTCTCCTAAATTTGGGCTCACAGAGATAATGCCCCAATTTGACTAAGATGATGTTGTTGCCAACTTTTGTCTTTACTGAATACAAAAGAGAGCGCATATTGTATTTCGAACTGATTATAGTTTTCAGTATTTTTTCTTTGATTCATTATCTTTCAAACACTTAACCTTTAGCAAAGTAAACAACCTAAGTAAAATTTGCTTAGGTTCTTATAATATTCCTAGGAAGTTTAATAAATTAAATTGCTCAATAAGTTAACTATTCAAATAATGTGTCCATAATATTTTTGTTAATCACATTTTAATCACATTTTTTTTCGATGAAATGCGTTGTTGAATAAATTATCTTATTGATAATTGTTACAATATAATGAAATTAAATTTTTATACTATTTAATAATAAAAAACAGCATTTCCAGGCAATTCAAATTTTATGGATTAGTTCTTTATAACAACAAGCAACATTTAAAGATTATGGGGAATGTTACAAGTGGGATATTTTCCAAAAGCTATATTCCTAACTTTATTTTATTTGTATGAAAATAGACGTTAAAAAATATAAGATAATAAAGATACTAAAAAAATTGTGTAAAATAGGGTAAACCAACCAGTGAAGGAACACTACCCAGTGAAGGAACATTTCATATATATTCATTAAAAATAAGAATTTGAAAGTTTTTCTTTAGATTGATTGGTAACAATAGCTTACTGCCAAACAATAGGAAGTCATCTAGCAATATTTTGGATTACCTGGTCAAATAGATTTCTCTGAAAAAATTTTTGAATTTGTTATTATCTCTGCAACACCTTGTTTCGTTGAAAAAATTATAAGGTGAGTGTTTGTACTTATATGTTTGAAGTGGAATTAATTGCATGTAGTAGTCTTATTTTTCTCACTGTGAAAAAGAGAATTCAAAATATAGTTATTGAAGTTACGTTTTATTTTTTTTAAAGCACCATAGCATAATCAAGTACTGAGATAAGGGGGTGTTTATTCACTGGATCACCAAACGATGAAAAACCAGTGAAGGAACAAGTGTTCCTTTACTGGGTTTTTCTCCCAGTTAATGAAAATAAAAGAAATTTTTTAATTTTCTTGTACTTTTAGTCATATTATACATCAAAATTCTGTTTAAAAGACAAAAAACAACTTCCAACCAGTGAAGGAACAGGCATGTTCCTTCACTGGATCACCAAACGATGAAAAACCAGTGAAGGAACAAATGTTTCTTTACTGGGTTCATTTCTCAGTTAATGAAAATAAAAGAAATTTCGTAATTTTCTTGTACTTTTAGTCATATTATACATCAAAATTCTGTTTAAAAGACAAAAACCAGCTTCTAACCAGTGAAG